AGAGAGAGAGAGAGAGAGAGAGAGAGAGAGGGAGAATATTTACGTCCCCTTTTCCAAGCTTCTTCGCGCATCGATGCAATCGGCCGGCGTTAACGTAATATTCCCCGATTCGAAATTCGCGCCTCTTCTCGAGAAGCGAACTGCCATCGTTTACCTTGGCAGTGTCCGCGGTAATTCGATGTCGCTGTTTCTCGAACTTTCGCAAGCGTGGCTCTTTCCACTACTCTCCGTCCGATTTCGCATATTCGGGCGAATATTTAAATGAATCAAAGGATTTCTCAAGGAGGAGATTGTTCGTCTCGAAATAGAAAAAAAGCAGGTGTGTTTAAGGTGTTATTTCTCGTTCGTTTTAACAAGAAACGACGAATAAAAATTCTTTTTGCGATTATATTTATATAATACAATCGATACATATATACGCGGAGTTCATCGATGATTATGGCTCGAAAGCGACGATTCGAAATGATATCGGTGTTTTATCGATCCACGTGTTTTTATAATTATTTTATTAAGTAAATATATTGTAATAATAATTCTGATAATTAAGTGATTTACGACGATTCGATATAATGTTTGGACGAGCAAGAAATTATTAGCTCTACAAATCTGTTTATCATCTAATGTAATAAAACAATCCTTTATTTAATTTTATCTCGTTATAATTTCTTGCGCAATGAGTAGTAGATTTATTATTTCATTACTTAATAAATATATAGAACGACAATTTCTCTCACATAACGAATCTATCTAACTTCGAATCGATCCTCCTTTATTTAATTTTATCTTATTATAAATTCTTGCACAATGAATACTAAATAAATTCGTATGTATATATATAAATACATATACTTCCTTTCACAGTGTTTAATATTAATAATCACTAAATGAAGAGTTCAGAATGCTCTTCGAAATCGATCGTTTTCTAATGTAATAAAACGATCCTCCCTTTATTCAATTTTATTTTAATTTTTTTCGCAATGAATAGTAAATAAATTCGTATATATACATATTATTAATTTTTCCACGATTTGCACATCCTTTCGACATTCCATTCGATTCGCACCGCGCATTCGAAAATATTCAAGGAAGCGTGACTTTCTTTCGAGAGGATCGATCGATTCGCCAGATTCGAACGGTGTTCAAAGATAAGCCTTCGAGAAGGCTTCGTAAGAGCCTCGAACATCACATCGACGTAAATAACGTCGAACACCGTCGTTCCAGATAAATACGTATGACGCGGGAGAGCTCCATTCATAAACAAATCACTTTGGCCGTCCGTTTGTTTGGATTTGCAACACAATGGCGGATAATAAAGTACAATGGCCGTACGTCATCCGCACTTGGGCTCGTCCGCGCGCGTAACTCCTGTATTTGTCGATACGGCTTCGACAACGCGAACCCGTTACACGTTCGATTCTACAAAATTGTCGCGACCCACGCGCAATCTGATTTCCCCTCCCTCGCCACGTTCAACGTTTAACAAACCAGTCGTGGCTATTTATCCCCGCCGACTCATCCCTTTTCAATCCCCTCCCGAAAATCGAACGAATCGTCCCAATCGTTTCTTTGTGATTTCGGTTGATCGAGAATCGATATCCACGGTTCAAGTCTAAACTGAAAACTGCTTCGAGTATATTCGACGAATCGAATTGATACGATATTACTCGAAGGAGTAAGTTTCGCGGCACTGTGCGCGTATCGTATATATTACGAGCTTTTCGAGCGTACGAATGCGAATTGTATCGTTGTTGAATTCTATTCAACGGAGAGGACCAATGTGGCGGGCCAATCGTTATTTTTCCGCGGGAACGTGAGCCAAGGGGGGGTCGGAGGGAGCAATANAGTCGCGTTCGAGGCGGAGTTGGGCAATCGAAACCAACCTTGAAAAAGTAAAGTAGTTAAAAAATTCGAGTAAAGTTATTTTGAGTAATCGCTTAGTTAAAATATGCTCGAACAACGTTTACATAGTTATAGATATTACGGTCGATCCGTTTCTCGCGTAATCTCGACTCAAGTTTTCTTCTTCGCCACAATTATTTCGGATTGTTGTTACGTTTCGAGGCAACGTGTTATCGAGGCAACTCGTCCGAGTTAACTTTATTCGTAACTTCTATTATTAAATTTTGCTCGTCGCTGGTCCCGAGGAGCAGAGTTTCGAAGAGGCGATAAGAAGTCTTTTTTCGTGAAGCTACGTCGCGAGAGCGACTCGCGGACCGGCCATCGTTTGCACATCTCCGTTTAAATTAGAGAATCTGGAAAACGTAATCTCCTCGTAAATTGTTATCGGACTATCGAAAACACTCGAATTGTCTTACCGCTTCGCAAGTCTTACAAGGTTCGTCTTCGACATATTATATTCGCTGTAATAACGTCGATACATTATCGATGATTTCAACTGCGGAGACTATGTAGGCGGAATTTTCGAAAGATGAAAAATATCGGTTTTCGATTGCAAAAAAAAGAAAAATGGCTCCAACCAAAGAATCGGTGATGAATCTCGAAAGAGCTGTTCGAATCGATCTATCGATCCTATCCTATAAATTAATGTATAGATATGAGGCAAATATGAATCTAAATAGTGATAATTTAACGAAATAACGATAGAAACAATGAAATTGAAAATTATAAAATGAAAAAAAGGAGGTTGTAAGAAGACGATTCAAAGATTGAAAGAAATAAAAAAATTGTCGACTAAAGTTAAAGTTATAATATAAAATAATAAATATCAGTGACTATAAAAATTAATTTTATACTATAATATTGCAAAGTTTTACGAATCCAAATACAACAATAAAACAAAGTAGACAGTTTCTGCTTCTATATATACGTATCCAACGAAACCGTTCCATTCGTGACACTTTTCCACGGAATTGAAAGAAGTTAAAATACAGAAAAAATTATTCTCAACGACGTAATATGATATATAATCCGCGCGATCGAACTTGCCCTTCCTCCGGTTAGCCTATCCTCGGTTTCTCGGAGGAGAAACAAATTTCTGGAAATGGAAACGGCGAACGGGCGAATCGATATATCGCTCGTTCGGAAGAGTGGATAGGCGGATCAGGGCGGGTTAATTGGCGATGCGGTCGGTAATTTTACACGGACCATCATTCCCATTGAGGCAAGTATACGCGTCCACTGTCAATTTATCATATATATAGGGAAGGAGGGAGGGAGAAGGGAGGCCGCAATGCATCGCTCCTGCGGGATCTGGGTCTCGTGACGGGACGCTAAACACGCGATTATGCGCCTCCATTATTATGCCAACCAACACGGGGACGGCTCTGCTTTCCCCCGCTGTTTGCTTACATCCTCTCTCTCTCTCTCTCTCTCTCTCTCTCTCGCTCTCTCTCTCTCTCTCTCTCTCTCGCTCTCTCTCTCTCTCTCTCTCTCTCGCTCTCTCTCTCTCTCTCTCTCTCTCGCTCTCTCTCTCTCTCTCTCTCTCTCGCTCTCTCTCTCTCTCTCTCTCTCTCGCTCTCTCTCTCTCTCTCTCTCTCTCGCTCTCTCTCTCTCTCTCTCTCTCTCGCTCTCTCTCTCTCTCTCTCTCTCTCGCTCTCTCTCTCTCTCTCTCTCTCTCGCTCTCTCTCTCTCTCTCTCTCTCTCGCTCTCTCTCTCTCTCTCTCTCTCTCGCTCTCTCTCTCTCTCTCTCTCTCTCGCTCTCTCTCTCTCTCTCTCTCTCTCGCTCTCTCTCTCTCTCTCTCTCTCTCGCTCTCTCTCTCTCTCTCTCTCTCTCGCTCTCTCTCTCTCTCTCTCTCTCTCGCTCTCTCTCTCTCTCTCTCTCTCTCTCTCTCTCTCTCTCTCTCTCAGTGTCTGTCATTCAGTCTCTCTCTCTCTTCCTTTTGTTCTTTCCCTATCCATGATTCATCGATCGACACACGATCGATTGTCTCGGCTTCGATCATCCTTCAGCCCCATCCATGTCATATATAGATTTCCAGTTGCTCTGTTTATCTTAGTGGCGGTAGATTTCGTAAAGTAAAATCGCTTTAACGCGCTTTCTTCTATGAATCTATCTAGATCGATTCTAGATCTTTAACTTTATTCAGTTTCACTTCAACTTTATTATCTCGTATAGATTTCTGTTTTAATTATTAATTTTAATAATAATTTTAATTATAATTAATCTGTTTATCTCGATAGATTTCTTAAAATAAAATCGCTTTCGCATATTTTTTCCCATGAATCTATCTAAATCGATTCTAGATCTTTAATTTCATTCATATCTCGTATAGATTTCTAATTAATTTCGATAATAATCGTTTTCACGCGGTTTCTTTCATGAATCTATCTATAGATCGATTCTAGATCTTTGACTTCATCCATATCTCGTATAGATTTCTAATAATTAATCTCAATAGATAAAGTAAAATCACTTTCACGCGCTTCCTTCTATGAATATATCGTGGAATCGACGCTATTGTCTCGCCTTTAACTTCACCCATATTTCGTATAGATTTCCAGTGGCGATAGATTTTGCAAAAAAAATCGCTTTCACGATGAATACCTCCTTCGATGAATCTATTATCGTAGAATCGACGCGATCGATCGTTACGTCCCTCAACTCCATTCATATCTCCTATAGATTTCCAATTGCTCTGTTTACCCCGTTTTGCATCTCGATAGATGCGACAGATTTCGTAAATAAAATCGTAAAATCGTTTTCTTCGATCCGAGAAGAAAGATCATTAATCGATATGATCCTAGAAACAGAAAAAATTCCGATGATACGATCATTGT